GGATGAGCTTGTCCCAGTTCTCACCCATATTCTCAATTTCTCACTGATAACAGGCTCTTTCCCTTCGGTATGGAAAAAAAGCACAAGTCATCCCCCTGCCTAAAACTTCTAATCCTTCATCTTTTTCACAATATCGCCCCATCTCTATTTTACCCATCTTGTCGAAGGTCCTGGAGAGCATTGTACAGCGACAGCTATCCTCCTTTTTAAACCTCAATGGTCTGATAAGTCAATTTCAGTCTGGTTTCCGTCCTGGCCACAGTACGGTTACAGCTCTCCCTAAGGTGTCTGATGACATTCGCCAAGCTATAGACCGTAAACAGTTGACAGTTTTGATCCTACTCGACTTCAGCAGCGCTTTTAACTCCGTTGACTTTGATGTTCTCTTAGGTATTCTTAAATCTCTTAACTTATCTCCACCTGCACTTACTTGGTTTGATTCTTACCTGCGGGGTCATTAGCAGTGTGTCCGCTACGCTGATGTATATCAGTGCGTGTTCAGTGATGTATATGTGTATGATGCTTCATCAGGCTGGTGTGATCTTACTGCGGGAGTTCTACAAGGTAGCGTCTTATCTCCTCTCTTATTTTCAATATTTATTAATGCTGTCACTCATGTAATCTCTTCTCAGTTAAATCTCTACGCTTCTCAGTTTCATCTCTATGCAGATGACTTGCAGCTTTACCGCCATTTGAAGGTATACGAGATGCATGATGCTATATCTGGAGTAAACGATGATCTCTCAAAAATTTGTAATTGGGCAAAATTTTTTGGACTTCTAGTTAATCCAGCAAAGTCCCAAGCGGTTATTTTTGGCAGCATGTATATGCTCAATTTCATCAACGGTAATAACTTGCCACCGGTATGCTACGATGGTATTACTATACAATACTCTTCGTGTGCTAAGAATCTTGGCATTTTGTTTGACAGCAAGTTATCCTGGACCAATCACATTAATGAAGTGAGCAGGAAGATACATTACTCGCTTCATTCTCTCAAGCGTCTCCAAAGGTTTTTGCCCTTTGAAACAAAAGTTACACTCGCCCAGTCCCTTCTTCTACCTCTTCTTGACTATGCGGACGTATGCTACTTGGATGCTGCGGAAGAACTGCTGAATAAATTGGAACGCTTACAAAATTTGTGTATACGCTTCATTTTTGGGCTGCGTAAATACGATCATATTTCTAGCTTCCGATCCCAGTTGAAATGGTTACCCATATTCGCCGTCGAGATTTGCATGTAGTATCCACACTTTACTCAATTCTCAAAAATCCTGCGGCTCCTCTGTACCTCCGTGAGCGTTTTGAGTACATGGTACCGCGTGGTCAACCCTGTCGTGAGATCAAATCCCTTCTTCTAAAATTACCCTCGCACTCTTCTTCCTGTTATGGCAGCTATTTTACAGTACACGCGGTGCGCCTCTGGAACTCTTTACCTCATAATGTCCGTGCCAGTCCATCATCGAACGTTTTCAAGAAAAGAGCAAAGGAGTTTTATTTATCCACATAAAGTATTTTTCTCCTTATAGTTATATATCTTGTTTTCTATCTTTTTTAATATATATTAAGTGTATGTTATGTATTGTGTATATATGTTTATAGATATATTTATGTATTTATATTAATATATATATTTACGCATGGTATGTTAAAGAAATATCTCTGTGCACTAAACACATTTTCAGCTACCTTCAATCAAATATTTTTCTCACCAGGTTAGCTGGCAGAGAACTCATGCATTGAGTTAAGCTTACCTTTTGTACATTACTTTTTTTAAACATTTTTTTTTGTATTCTGTGTTTTGTGTACAATAAATACATAAATAAAAATAAATAATAAATAATATATGTATAATACATACAATATATATATAAGAAAATTATAAGTACTCTTAAGTACTTATAATTTTCTTATACATATATTTATTTATTTATTTAATCTTGATTGCCAACCTTCAGTAAAACAAGGTAACAAAGGGCGGACTTGATGCCCAAAGGCATTCTCTACCAGTCAACCCAGGATGTGGTGAGAATTTATAGTAAGTGCAGCAAAAGATGCAAGAATAATAAAATTTTAATTAAAGAGAATATATATGAAAATAAAATAATTGAAAATATTGTAATTGGATACAAATCATATATGAATTATATATTTGCATATATACCATCTGATGAGTGAGTTAACCGCTTCTTTAGTGTTTGACGAAATCTCTGCAACATCACTAGAAATGTGTTTACCCATAGGCGGCCTTACGTAGGATTAGTTGTTATCCATATCATAGTTTCGGTAATTTTTGTTTAGTCACTGGTTAATCAGGTTTTAGTTTAGTTTCTTTTTAACCAGCAAACGAGACGTGGATTAGGAAAAGGGAAACTACGGAACCAAGAAAAACTATTTTCGAAATTCGTATTTTAAACTCTCGTTATCTTCGGTGTTTATCGACAAAGCGTCCCTGTTTAATTTAGGAATGAAAAAGTAATATGTTTTATTTATAAATAAATGTAAATTCAATTGGCGATCGCAGCGTAGGACGATTAGATGGAGTAACGACCTGTGAAATAGCGAGGTGAGGCGATGGATGTAGGTGGCTTAGGTTCGTGTTTCGTCACTGTCTGTGGGGGCCTGGGGGTAGCCTCCGGTCTATGCTCAGTAGGGGATTAAAACAGGTTGACATGATGATGAATGATTTAATTTAAATTACAAAGGATACTATACAAAAAGACTTTCCGGTGTTACTCACGGTTTTGGCCACAAAATGAATTCAGGACAGTAACATAATAAGCCTATTTATAGTTGGTACTTTAAAAAAAGAACTGTTTCATATGGAACATCCACTCTTAGTCGCTTTACAAGATACACATATATTTTGTGCGGTTGTAATCCTCCGCTAAAACATAGATACCAGCCTGAAAATTAATAACAATAAATAGAAAATAAGATTATTGCTTAAAATTCAATGATGCAGCAAAAAGTCTTACCATACGTAATTCATAGTTCTATTCTGAAAGTAAGTAATGCCGTTGTGGCTGGGACATCGAACTTAAAATCTACGATCTAAGTTTTCCATTTTTCGAATGGGTTAGCGCGCTTATTATTCGTGTGTAGCCCGACAAGATTCAAATCTGTCACGCAAACGTGTCGCCATCCTTTTTGAACAAATGGACAGGATATGACAAAATTTAGAAAGATATAGATATAGAAATAATAGCCACGCAGCAGGTTTGGCTGTTGCACAAATGGGCAAGCTCGTCCGGGGAAGTACTTTTGGGTTCCATCTGTTGAATGAGGTAAGGTGGGCCCAATTTTTTAAGGTAGCCAATGAAACTGCAACCTGCCAGGTGTTGTAGGTGAGGCTGCGGTAATCACTGGACTGAACCACCTGGTCGCTTGCCAACTTTTAATATAACACAATAAAATAAAATTCTAAGTCTAGTGTCAAAAGACAAAAGAGCTTATTCTATATGCTGATGTCGTGATTTCAGTCAATGAAGTGTTCCTTTTAACCAAATGAACAAATCGATCAATGAAAAAATCGTTTTTAAATAATGTGTTCAATTTGTTATACTATCATCAGATATGTATCAAAATTATTTATACATGCTAATGAGATTACGATAGTGAATACTATATGTAGAGTGCTCATCAATTGATACGTAGCTTGTTAGTGTGATCAAATTATCGCATTCAGTTGGTATAAAAAGAATGCCCTAGTTATAACGTCATATTACGCAAACAAGCACTACCTCTATGTGATGTAAGCTTACGTTATTACGTGTTGTAGCGTCTTATTGAGTTGGGCTAGAGGCATGTGTGTCACTAATTTCGTACTGTATTCCCGATTGATACGATTCCAATACTTAACAAAAGTTATTTCTAAGCAGTAGCCTTACATTAACAACATTAAACACAAGAGATTAGAAGCAGATAGAATTTAAGTGAATTTTTCTGTTGACATATGTTTTTTTTCTACTTTTGAATAGTATTTGAATATACGTACAATATATATCTAGTTATTAGGGCCGATAAAGTGTAAAGTAAAACCAATGGAGGTTTTTGTATTATATAGTAATAAATTTTTAAATGAACACATTCAGAGAGTAGTAATGTGCGGATTAGGAATGATATTTTCTCCTTAAGCTTCAAGACAATTTATACGTGCGTTTATGCATTTCTGTATGTATGTATGTATGTATTGAAAATTATCTAAAATTTATATAGGAGTTAAAATCGTATTTCGAAAGAATGTAACGAGAAATGTTACAATGAAAACGAATACCTCAATAAGGACAAAGGTCATGGCAAGTGTGCTTTGTGAAGTAACACAATATTTTGAAAGGCATTCCGCACTGTTAACTTTTAAAATGTGAATTATTTTAACAATTAGTGAAATATTTCTACACTTATAAAGCATAAACATGACGTTATTAGTAAACATAGGGGAAAAAGATAGTATACGAAAGTAGGCAGAATTAGTTATGTTCCAAAATTAGGCGCATATATTGTGTTATATGAAGTTTTACATCATTAACGAATGTACATTTTTACAAAAATAACATAAAAACGTTATGTTTGTACAAATTTCTATTCAGCAAAATTGATCTAATAAATAGCTCATTTGAGCTTTTTAACAATTTTAATAATAAGGAACATTATGCAATATTATAAATTTACTTTGTTTCCTGCTTTTTTTACGTGTTTTGGGGTTTCCCTTAGTTAGTTATTATATAAAATATTTTTAATCACAAACATTATTACATCTACTGAAAACCTTAAAAGGCATATGTATATTACCCAAAGATATCTAATAAGTACAGTTCTACAAGTAAATGATACAGTAAATATCTAAGACATATATGCGGTCTATAGACCTTCGAATAGCCCTACAACGATGACTTCATTACGGACATAGTTAATGCTCCAAGGACAATTGTCGGAGAAGAGAAAAGTGGACTGGTTGATGAGAGAATTAATTAGGAAAAAAAAACTAAAGACTCACTCACGTGTGTCGTTTACGGCTGGTGGTGCGTCAGCGGGGCGGAGCTGGCCGTGCACGGAGCCTGCAGCGACCAGAAACACCAACGCCACCAGTGGCATCAAAGTCATCACAATCGGTTGCCCATAACGTTATCTGTGTAATGTAAAAACATAATTGATGTTGGTGGGAACTTTCGCAATGTTTGGTTCGACTAATCTTCTCTATGATATATATATGTAATGATAGAATCTGTCCTATTGCACTCACCCCGGAATTACTAGTGGATAGAGTTCAATCATTCTATGATTTGTTTCTTGGTTCCTATCTAAATAAAAAAAATGTGTGACATATTCATTTAATGTCAGGGTATTAAAGTTTTAAGAAACAACGATTTTATAGCACTATGCTTTTTCCTTTGAATTAAAAAATACATTGTTAATATAATGAGTAAAGCAGGCGAAGTCGCGGGTATCAGCTAGTCGAATTAAAAATCGTTCTCTTAGGACACCATAAGTAGAGCAGACATTTTAAGGCCATTCCCTATTGTGAATGTTTTTTATGTGATTTGCCACCAAGGGACCTTCGTAAGACTTGTATATCGTAAGAAATAGCAAAATATTGTACAAGTTTTGCATTACTGTGATTTGGTACAGAGAGTGAAAAAATAGCTGATGTATGATGCTGATGATGAAGATATACCTTTGTGACGGACAAATAACATCATATTTGTATGTTTGGGTAAAAATGAAAAAATATCTGCCATAAAATGGCAATTGATTGTACTTTTGTTGTGGCAATTGTTTTATGACGTCGAAAGACTTTATTTATTCGCATTTTGTTTTTCTTTTGGACTACCGCAGTCTATCGTTTCGCTCGCCAGCTTTTATCGCATTTCGTTTCAAGAACGTTCGAATGGAACGAGCGTTTTTAGATGTCAACACACTGCCTTTTTAACAGGACAAATTCGCAAAAATTTTGCGGAAAAAAGTATGCTTCGGCAAATAAAATAAAATTTTGTCGTCACCGACCAAAATTTTTGCACATTGCTTCTCTATGTACAAACTTGTAAGTGTAGTCAACCTTTAAGTTTAATCCACTCTGTAGTATTGACCATATACAAAACGTAGCAAAAGTTTCACCAACGAAAACGTGAGTGAAAGCATAATAATGTTCGTTTATAATCCGCAGTAGGCGGTTTCGAATTAGTATTCATTGACGTGCTTGAATGAATTAATAAAAAAACAGTACGTGCTTTTTATAATACCTACGTAATGTATCTAGGCCGGTCATTCATTCCGAACTAACTAAATTCTTGATTGATTTTTCTAAGATAACTGATGTTATCTCGCTCACGTTTAATTTTAACAAATATTTAAATTCTATATTCCTCTCAATAATAATGTACGTAATAACTCGAAATCATAAGTAACTGATTTCTTTTAATACATAATTAATGCACATTTTTATACTCTGATAACGAGCCCGTGCTAGTTCCGAAAAAAATATTACGTAAGCATAACATTTGAATTTTAAACGCATTGCTCAATACGTATTTAAGCATATTATGTATGTATGTGATTGCTTGAAGTCGTTCCTTGCTTACACGTACATCGGCAGTTATTGTCAAATTTAAAAGGTCTTGACGGGCTTTGTTTAAATAATTAGCGTATCTTGTGCAATATAGGTCAGGCGGTATTGTTCGGCATTCTCCACATAACAGGACTGGTTTGCAAATCAGTTGACATTGGCATTCGATGGCCGCCACCGCTGAGGCTAACAATACCCACGCATGAGTCTTTATAATTGTAAACATGACATAATTCGAGGACATCGCTGCTTTATTTTGCCGCCATTATCATTTATTAAAACACAACGTAACGTGTACGCTGTAAAGCAACCTCGCTGCAGGCTTTTTTCAAGTTTTAAATTGTTCAGACGGTCTCCGATTAAAGAATACGATCGTTGAAAACATCAGAAAGGGTATAAAGTCAAGTATTGTTCAGCAAATTAAAAAGTATTTATATTCAATGTATGAATAAGGTGTCTGTGTTCAATGAAGCGCTTGCAGTCTTAGATGTCATAGACTATTAGAAGTTCCTGAAGAATCTCAATCCTCAAGCCACTTTTTTATTTGGGAAGGTGGCAAACGAGCTGGCGGTTCACCTGACGTTAAGTGATAACCGACGCCCATTTGTTACACACGTAGGGTTGCAGATGCATTTCCACCTTGTAAAGTGGGCCCCGCCTAACTCATGCAGTAGACAAAACGCAGAAGTATAAAACTTCCTTTTATTTAAAAGTCTAGTAATTATTTATGTTGTTACGGCAAACTACAGGCGGGATCTTTTAATGTTTTTGCGATGTTTCAAACAAATAAAACAATAAAATGTGCATAAAATGTTTGAAGTATTAAAATTAAGTAAGTAAGTATTAAAGTATTCTACATAGAAATAAAATTGAGCAATATTAAAAAAGAGTTAGATATTTGAATTTTCAATTCAATTACCTGAATAAAATCAGTTTCGCCTTTGAGAATTTGCAAACTAATTCAAAAAATACATTGATTGAATATCATAGCATTATTTTGAATAGGTAAATCTTCCTCCCGATTATATTTTGAAAAATTAATTACAAGAAATTCTAATCTTTATAAAACCACAAGTCGGTGGGAGATTATTAATTTGTGTCCACGTGATCGTCAAAACTTTGTGAAGTGTTTCTGAATGGTAGTACGTTTAAATAGCGACATAATGTTATTACATGCGTAACAATATGTAAGGCGGAGTCAGTTTAATTTTGTATCATAATGATTACACTCTTCTATAGCGAACTGCGTAATGTGAACGTACTAAGTTGGTACTGAGGCTTGTGCGTCACGAGCAACTTTCACCGCGGCTAACTATCAGTGAACTTAAGGAACTAGCAGCGCACCTACTCGCCGCCATGCGACCGGCCCGTTTTCTTTCTGCGACAGTTCCTGTTACTAATAACGACCAATGCCGTGTTTGTGACATGTAGCTATGTGTTTATAGTCGCAAATGTCGATTATTGGACCCTGAAACTTCAAATATAAATAAAGGTGTAGATTAAATTAATTGTGGTCAAGATTGAGCGTTTTTACAAGAGAAAGCGTTTTTTTTGAAGATAGGCCTCGAATCAGCCCCAAACGTTGGTTATTTTGGGCGGCTGTCATTTACTATATTTCATTAATTGATGAATGAGGCTTTGTTAAAGATTTTATCGTATTTTTTAATTCTATATTTTATATTCTCGCGTTACTCGAATACTTTACTATGTGTAATAAATCATTATACTTCTTATTTTAGTTTATGTTTTGTATTAAATCATTCCTTAGAAGGCTTTTCTATATATTCACATGAATTCTATGATTTATTAAAAATATAGCTTTCCCGTCATTTTTAAATTACCAACACTATTTAATCATATATCTAATAGTGATAAGGTTCGTGAATAATGCAGAAGTAGGCCACACCTAATGTGTTAAATTAAATTAAAATGCGATAAAATCTGGCATAAATAGTTTTATTTAAAAATGTAGTTTTTAGGTTAAATTTAATACAAATGAATTGCAGTAAGCAAGTAATCCTATTTCGCAGTTAGAAGGGAACGAGAAAGAACGAGACCACGCAATATTCATAAATGTATCATACATTCATCATCAATCTTGTATCAACGTATTGACGGTATTTTAATACAAATTCTTGCAACTTGTAAAATTTAATTCTCTAAAGAATTTAAATATTTTATTTACATTTTAAAAATTTAAAAAGCATTGAAAACAATCCGTCATTATTGACATCAATAAAGTTTTTTTTCAAATTGAAAAGAAACTGAAATGTAATTAGTGAATTGGTTTTCAAGAAGTTATAACATCACGTTTCGTCGGCTAATAAGTATAGTATATTTAAATATATTGCATATTATATCTCAAAATGTCATCTAAATGCTGTATTTTTATATAATTATTTTTGTAAAGAATATAACATAAGCTTGATTTGATACCGGTAAAATTAATCTACATATTGTGTCTTAATCTTATTATTTCTGATTACAGTATTGACTGAACAGATTTGCATGAACTGAGGAATGACTTATATAAACTAGTTTACCTTGTTATATATTTTTTGTTGTGTAAACTATTTTATTAAGAAAATAGGCAAACCGAAAAAAAGCTCGATCTTCAGTTTAATTTATTATAAATTTAACTTCAACTACGACTTATCAACATCTTTCAATATGATGTACTATCCGAGTGTCTCCATCTGCTTCGATAAGGATATGAAAAGGTATTTCACGTGTTATATTTAGTCGCCCCTTTTAAAACATAAATAGTGTGCCCTACACGTTTTGCCGGATGTGCACCGGGGACGAATGCGGGCTTGTAGGGCATTAAATATCCGGACAAAAGCTCGAAGGCGCGTCTCAGCACTTAAACTAAATAAAGGATGGATTTATCTAATAAATTACACCGTGGTTCGTGGATTTAACTGGGATTAATATTAACAAAAAATCAAAGTATAAACAGAACGACATTGAATATTAGAAGAATGTGGCAAAATTTTAGTGAATAAGCGTTCATTCTATCTTCTCTAACTCTTCTTTAACGATTCTGAAATACTCCTCTTCAGTATTTTGTTCTACATCTTCTTCTTCAACGGCACCGATGGATTTTATCTCGGTTTTCTCCTCATCACGTTGTTTCAAATGAATCTCTTTAAGTCGCGAATCTAATATATGTTCACGCCTGGTCTCCCTATTGTACAGTTGGATAAAGAGTTGCTTGTCAAGTTCTTCAGGTAAGGTCATATTCTCAGCTAAGTTAAGCAAAAAGATGGTTCCCTGATTGTCGCTGGTGGCCACCATTTTTCCCTTCGAGTGTGGAGTGAGCTTAATTAGTCCATTGTTAGAGACTCGATGAGTAGTGACTGCCTGGCTAGTGTTGCGCAGTAGGTCCCAATAATAAAAATATCCGCCTTCGCAGACCGCCATATAGCTGGAGTATCGTAATGGCGCCCACGCGACGTCTGTCACTTGGTACCGGTAAGGTTTGCTAACGATTATCGGGGCCGTTCGCACCTCTTCGCTCCATATACTGACGGTCCAATCGCCGCATGTTATAAACATTCTGAGTGTGCAAGTACTACGCTGGATAGCGCGTACCGGCCCCGTATGGGCCTCCCAATACGACGTAAGGATTTCCGAGTGGCTGCGGCCCATACGGTTAACGTTGATAACCAGTCCTGATTCCGTGCCGCACAGAAACTTCGTCGGCAGGCCACGGTCAAATTCTAAGCAACTTACGCCTTCAGCGTTACTCAAGTTTGGGCTATCCCCCGCTGGAAACCTAACTGACATCAGCAATTGGTCTATCGGTGCTGACAAATTCCTCTTATCCCACCATAAGCATTGTCCGTCTAACGAGCCTGAAAAAAATTCAGTGTTGGTGCGAGAATGAGTAAAAAGTAGCGCGGATACCGGGTCGTGGTGAGAATTGTAAATGGAGCTTTTCGAAATCGCCTCTCTACCGCTGCGAGTGTCGAATAAATGAACGGTGCCGTTTTCGAGCCCAGCAATTAGTACTTCGGGTTCAAAATTTGAACAAGTCAATTGCCAACACGGATACTCTGGGAACATTTGAATAATCGGTGACGTTTGTCTATGTGTATCCCACACGAATATGTCATTTGGAAGACCTGATTTATTTCCTACAATTTTTTGACAATATGATGCAGCAAAGCGTGACGGTTGATCTGTAGTCCATACTACAGATGACACTGGCCTACGATGAGGGTTGTAGAAGGCATTTGCAATCTGAACGCCATATTTTTCTACAGGCGGTTGAGGGGGGATATCAGCGAAATAGCTCTCATACATATCTATGGCGTTGTTTTGATCAATATAATGTTTGACTTTGGGCTGGACGCTTTTAATAGTGTGGACATAGCCGTCTTCATGTTGCACGCGACGCCTGTGCCTCGCTACATGATCTTCGTTGTATGGATGGACATCACGCGGCCAGCCACCTTCGGTATGATTTATGCCTTGGTCGTGAATTAACAATTGCTTTGTGTTCGCGTCGTGTTCCGATTGCGGCATTGTTGCTTGCACCTCTCTATGTACTGGATTGCGGAGTATATACTGTTCGATCTTGTTCGGATATATTGAGTCTAGCATTTGCGCTGGAACTATTTGGAAAAGTGGCTGACGTCCGAAGTCTTTCCTTTTTTTAGAATATTCGTATCGTGATTTCATGTATTTAGACATTTTTTGCTTCTATTTTAGTTGTTATAGTGATGAAACTGTAGAATATTTTGATTTTTACTTTTCTTGGGTCGATATAAAGTGACAGTCAATTCAGTGTGGTCGTGAAATAATGCTTATACGTAGTGCCGATAAGAAACTATATTTTTCTTTGAATAGTGATTGCGATTTATACGCCATATTGGAATTTATGCTTTTCATTGTGTTTATAATTTGCCGTTCCTTATTTTCTACACTGTAAACGTTATAGCTCATTTCAAAATCATTGTTGGAGTTTCAGCAATGTTCGTGCCGCATTGTTCTCGATAGTAACAGGAAGTGCCGCAAAAACATTCCAGAGGTGATGCATTATTATAAGTAATATGCTATAAAAATAACCATGTTTGTGGATTTTTTTTCTAGATTTAAATTTACGAACATAAAACTAAATAGCATATTTATTTAAAGTCATATATACATTTTACGTACCTGATAATTCATTAACAGCAAAAGCTTTTTTTTTAATTTTAATGTTAAGTTAATGACGTAAAAAAAATTACAAATAAAATAAACACAAGAGCCGTACCGTTGAAAAGTAAACTCCGACACCGGCAACGATACGCGGCGCTGTATCACATATTTTCACTTCACATGTCACGCACAGAGGTATTGGTTCCGTCACGAATGGTCACAGCACTTAGCTTCGCGTTCGTCGGAAACGCAGGGGGCGCGGGAGGAAGGTGCGCGCGCGCAGACAGCCGCTCCGACCGCGGCCGACTTGTAACTGGAAGTTTGAACCGGTGACAGTAAACACGGCTCGTTCGCGTATTGTAGAACAGGCTGATACCCGCGACTTTGTCTGCTTACGCCCGGTTTCTGAAACACTGATCATCGTAGACGTCAACTAATCAGCTGTCAAATGGCTTTTCAAATATTATTTGAGTTGCCAAAAGGATTGTTAAAGTCTCTGAATTGATCAGAATGATCTTCTTCAAGTGTTGTGATCAAATCAGTGTTTCAGAAACCGGGCGTTACTATATTAACGAGTACACCGCTCGACCAATACTCAGCGACAATTAAATACACGTCACGGAACTCGTAGTGCTTCGAAAAATAGTTTTTTCTTAAAAAAAATGGATGAACATTGAATGAAGATATCACAATGTCTTTGTTTTAGATGAGAGCCGAGTGTCTAAGAAAAAAAAGTAAAAAAATAAATAGAAACCTTAATTCCGTGACACGCGCGCAACGGAAGACGACTATCATATAAATCATATAGATATTTACTGCGACTGGTTTGCTCCGTTCTCAGGTGGCCAATGATTGTGCAGGCCTCCTATTGATGGTCGCTCGGGTGTTCCTTCAGCTAGACTCTATATGGTGAAAACTGGTGCGTTGAAGCGGTAGGACTTTTACGCGTTAGAAGAAACGTAGAGTGCACTTCGTAATGTGGGACAGCGGTAATGGCCTGACCCGACTACGTCAAGCTCTCGACTAAAGCTCAAAGCCGACTTATAGTGGGCTTGAATTAGTCCACGTTTTGGATTTTGTAAAGAGATTTTCTTGTCTATGACAAAAGCTAGTTCAAATTATTTAAAGTTAACACTAATACACATATGTTTATATTTTTTATTACAAACTTAGTTGCTTTACTAAAGAATGATGATGTCATTATATTTCATAATAACTCAATAGGTAGCGAGGTCAGGCGATCAGCTATGGCGTCGCGCGTTATGTATTCGATTCCTAACTTTCCCATAAACTCGATCTCGATGTTCGTATAATTTCAATAAAGGTCTTGATTTAATGGCTATCTATAAAAATAACTCAATAAGACAACAAAATATAGTAATATGTAAAAATATATTAAATGAAAAAAGTTTATTTAATTTTTTTATTCAAAGAAGGGTTGGGTAAGTTTTCTTTGCTTGGCTTTTACTTTTTCTAATGGATTTCAAGTTCCTAAATTTCGATTCCGGTTAAATTATTTATTTTTACATTAAACGTTCGAACGTTATTGCGGAGATTTTCAACTATGCAAATTGAGCTGACTTTGTTGACATCATAATAGCGGAAAATTAAAATAATACAAGCGTTTAATTGCGGTCAAGAGTTAACTAGTATAATTGGCCATTAGGCGAGCGACGGTCAGAAAGATCGGGCGTTTGGCTTTATTAGCAATTGACTTGAGGCCTGGCCTCGTAGACTGTGCTCTATACCGAGCATTAATGTCACGATTATCATATATATTGGTAACGAAAGCTACGTTAGAAAAAAGCGATGATTATAATAAGTACGTCATGAAAGAAGAAAAGAAAGCTGATATGCGTAAGTGTGTTGTTCATTCTGTGTACTAATATAATCTTAATTAGTTTTCGGAATTAGAAAATTGATCGGTAGGATTTTCTTGATGATTATCATGATTCTTAGATTATCATAAATCTGTTTTAAGAGAACCTTGAAACAGATTCATGAAGAATAATATCGAATTAGTTTAGGAAATTTTTACAAAGAATTAAACAGCGTTCCCCAAGAAAACATTGAGAACACTTTAGGAATTGCAATGAGACAGAGTATAAAATATCTCTTTATTACAACTTTATAAATTATTAATAATTATCACGAATTCTGTATTCTGTATACATAATTTATTTATACTGAGTTTTCAGTGTGTTAGTAAAAAAACAAGAACTGAACAAATTTATGTTTGCTTTATTAAGGTTATAAAACTAGCTCATTAAGAATAATTGGTTATAAAACTAATTCAATTCATAACGTTTTAACTTATCTGCATGTTTATAATTACTTGACAATCAAAATGCATATTTAATTATAGAAATAAACTTATACGAGGTCATTTACAGCACGTTATAGAGTCACGTTTAGAAATACTCGTAAATGCTTATAAGGTAAATGTTGTTTGCAGATACTGAATGACACATATGTGTGTCTTTATAAGGAAGAAACAGAACTTTTGTTACATTGTTTTTTTGTTTGTTGTTATTGATGTAACAATACTGTGTGAAGAAATTTCAGTCAAGTTAACTTATTTTTATGGTAAGTGATAGTCTCTTACTTCTTCTTGTAGTTAAGTAGCATTCTTAACGAGTTATGTGCAAGCCTAGCTATATTTAGCTATGGGCTCATCACCCATGATATCACATTACTGTTATGCTGTCATTTCAGGCTGTTACGTTGACATGGAGAAATCCTTCTTGCATCAAGTCGACCTCTTTACGCGCTATTGTTAGGGTACAAGTAGAAAAGCAACGTGTTGCATGTAACTTAGTAAATTTAATGAAAGGCTTTACAACGTGTCAGAAGTAGACATTGAAGCCGTGGTTGGAAATATAAGAACACCATCAAGCATTGCAATATAATAACGCCATTATTTATCTATTATATATTTACCACCGAGTTTCGTTTTATGCATATAACAAAATCATCACAAAGTAATAAGTTATAGTGAAACACGTCAGATGACGTAAGCGTACACATTAGCTCACTTAAATCCTGTTTACTCTTGCCTTGTGCACACCACCTGTTTAAGAAAAATCATAGTTCGTTACAAACTGTAGCGATTAGAATAATATTAAATCTTTTTATGAGGTACTACCACTTTTACAATGCTAAATGTATAGCGTGTAAAATGCAACAGATTTTTCTCCAAGTCAAAATCAACTATGGAGATAATTCGTTGCAAGTAGACTGACTCTAGAAACTATCTGTCGTCTTTTATTAAAACAAGTAGCGATAGAACCTACATTACTTAACATTTAAAAGAATGTTTAGTTTTGTTGGACTATTGCTTGTTAAAACGGAATACGATTAGTGCGAAGATATTTAATATTTTATTATTTAGAGATCGCGCAAATAAAAAAAAAACAATGCGTCCACGCGCGTGCCTGACGTATCGTGTCATCGGTACTCGTTCTGCAAAACTGAATGAATTCTTTTCATACACAATGAACAATGGAGCGTGCCAAAGAGACGGAGTCGCCCGCAGAATGATCCTTTGTTAAACGTGAATATGGTTAATGTCCGTTCAGTAATTTGGACTCGTTTTGAGCGAAATTTATAGTTTTTCAATTTCAAGCAGAGATGTGGGCCAAGTAAATTCGACGATCATTAATTAAAATCAATAAAAGATAGAAAGGGTTTATTTCAGTTCAATATCAATATATTTTTTATTGTTTACGAATCGATTTCAGGTCCTGCACAGAGGTCAGGCCCGAATCCCAGCGGTGGCGTGGACGAAGAGAGTTTCCGTTTTTTTTTTATTTTCTGCGTGTACAAATCACAGTTAACTGCGGCCAGTTTATCACATGTCATGTTTGGGAATAAAATAATCTTGGTAAAACTCGCACAGCACAAATCTTTCTCTCTGCATCTGTCCTCCTTAAATATTACAGACGCGAGAGCTACAATTTCAATTAAAGCGATTAAAATTAGTAAATTGTTACAGCAACTTTTTTTAACTATTACCCTACCGGGCCACCCAACAGCTTCTACTGCTGCATTTCTGTTATTGTTGTTGTTATCCGGCGAAGTTACTTACTTCGGTGAGGCAGAAAGAAGACTAACGTGAAGTCTTCTACTATTATACTTTCGCGTTTAGTCTGGTGAGTGAGTTTTTCCGGACCCACTCTTTGAAGTCATATCTTTTGGAGCGTTTGGAAAAAATTATGAGAGCAAAATTTTTATAATGCGCGCGCATAACAAACCCCAGCAACCAACTTTATGGTATGACCATGACAACCGATAAAAACTTTTTGACATTTACCTATAATTCCAAGTTATAACCGTTATCAAGTGCATTTAATGTATTTTTCTCATACAAAGAGTAATGAGCTCAGTAGTTATTTTTTTAGTAGTTGGCAACGCATCTGCAACCCAATATTTTAATATCAGCTGAACTGACTGCTCGCTTTCCGAAATTGCACATAAAACATTAACAAGAGAATGTTTTTATTTAGGTTTAGACTTCGCTCTTTCCGACTGATAGAGCAGGAAGTATTCGCTTACGCGGCGTATGTACTCGTGTTTCCTCAATCCGTAGTTCTTCCATGTTGTATAAACGAAGTTACATTACATACTTACGTGGCGGACATCAGGAGAAATGTACAAGCGGTTTCAATGGCGCGGATCGCTGACAAGTCAGTGGTTCGAACGGGAAGTCGGACCTTTGCGTTTCCCAGACAGATTGTAATTGAATCGACAATGACTAGCCATGCTCGATATACATTGAATTTATTTCATACATCGGAATTGAATTGAAAAAAAAATCTGTGTATTTTAAACATGACCATCCCTAGCAAGGACCTACCTAATGGCAGTTCATTCTGCTAATGTCAACATCTATGTATAAAAAAAATAAAATTAAAGTGTCTATTCGTAATGTGCAGCTTTTTACTCGATGCTAATGAATGTTTGTACAGTACGTACCTGTATTAAAAGCCAGGTTATATCTATTATCGGGTACCCTTCAGAATGCCCACATAAAATTGCTTATTTAATTTTGTATTACATTTGCATATTCTTCAAAAATAAATCAATTCAAGCCTTGAACATCAAGACACTATAAATTTTAATCTATCCTATTAATTACAATATTCATTAAAATAAAATATTATATTCCTTACTGTTGTCTTATCTTATACATAGAAAATTGCGATTACAATATTATTACGAGCATCGTCGTCATTATCGTCATCAGCTGGAAGAAGTACACTGTTGAACATAAGCCTCCCCTTTAGAACAACACAATGTATCTACCGATTGCCCGAATCCTAACGATGTCGTCGGTCTATCTAGTGGGAAACCTTCCGAGGCTATGTCTTCGGTTCGTAGTCACAACCTGAGAACTTTTTCCCCATCGGTGATTACGGTGGTAGGGCCACGCAGCAGCCTCGGCTGTTGCAGGGCAGGTCCGTCCGGGTACGTACCACGACTCCACAGAAGACCAGCGTAAAGTGGAAGTATGACAAATACTTTCGCATTTCGTCTGGTGAGTGAGGTAGCCGGAGCCCAATTTTCAAAACGTTGTCAACGCATCTGTAACCTTCAGGAGTGGCAGATGTCCATGGGCGGCGGTATTCACTTAACATCAAGTGACCCGTCTGCTCTTTTGGCAACTTATCGCATATAAAAAAAAGGTATTTAGTTTTTCGAGCGATGTGACCTGCCGATTGCCAATTCAGCTTGCAAATTCGGAGATTGAGCGCAGTGACTCTGGTTCTTCGTCAAATTCCTCGTTCCAGATTTTGTTAAACAAAAAAAAACTCCGAGCATGGCTCGTTGTATGATTCTAAAAAAATTCGGTACCATACGTCATCACTGGCAACATACACTGGTTACACACCCTTGCAACCCAGCAATTGGATTGCTTTCGTGCTCTCATTCTGTAGGCGGATAGAGATGGACGCGTGTCTATACAAACACTTGAGCACTTTGATGTACCTATAGTGAATATGGCATTGCTGAAGGAATTGCAGTACCACCCAGATCTTTATCGAAGACTGTGGACAGTCAACAAACACTTAATATAATGTACAATTATACTCCTCGGATTTCTTTATAATCAGATCACATCCACAGGTTTCGCCGTTGGTGGATGTTGTTTCGCATTCGGTAAGGTTAGATTCTGTTCTAGGAGAACTGTTGATAGTGAATTAACTGTAGAAAAAAGTGTAGAGAATATATAATTTTTTATGACATGCCAAATAGCCGTTTAAATAGTGTTAGATTTTTAGAACCATTGAGTAAAAGTAAATAAACAGGTAACAAAAAATAGAAATATGTAGAAAAATTAATAGGCCCTACTAATCCGGTTTTGCGTGCTTTAAAACAGAACTCTATAAGTAATAAACTTCCTCCATCCCAAAATAACATAAAATACGAAGATTAGAGGGAATTAGCATTTATATTTTATCTCAAGGTATACTGTTGCGTAAGATTCGCTTTGTAAGTTTCACAATATTGATAAGGTTCATCTTTGATTCGCTTTTAATGTTTCAAAAGTAATGAAGCGTGAAAATTTTTAAATCTTGTCTGAAATTATGGCGAAACATGAACGAATTGTTGATTTTACCGAACAGTTCAAAAATTTCAGAACTTGTTGCGTAAACGCGAGAAACCGATGGATGCAGGTCGCTGATGATGATGATGTTAATTGCCACTCGAGGAAACCAACGCCATTGGGGTGGGGAAAACAAAACCTCTAATTACGTTTTTAGGGTTCTATAGCCAAAGCTTAAAACGGGACTGTATTTCTAAGACTCCAATGTCTATCTGTTTATCCCTCTGTCACCAGGCTGTATCTCATAAACCGTGATAGTTAGATAGTTGAAATTTTCGCAGATTATGTATTTCTGTTGCCGCTACAACAACAAATACTACAGAAAAAAATTTTTTATGATGAGCTCCCATACACCAGCTTGGTTTTGCCGTTTTATAGATAATGGTACGGAACCCTTCATGCGCGAGCCCGAATCGCACTTGGCCGGCTTTATATGTCATGACTTTGTTTAAGAAAACAATTCAAATCGTTACGCAAAAAAGCAACAATTTCTCTAGCTGATATTTTTCTTATTTTTATTTTAAATGGGAAGGTGGCATGCGAGCTGGCGGTTCACCTGATGTTAATTGATAACTGTCGCGATAAGACATCTGCAACACCCGTAGGATTGCAGATGCGTTGTTACCTTTTTAAAAATAAGACAAATTTCACCCTATTAATAATTATTCTATTAAACGGTAAATTTTTTGTGTGATGAACGTATCCTTTAAACATTATTTATTACGTCATAAGTTTATTATTGTATGTTTTACGAATGAAGATATTGCTCAAAGATTTACACGTTACAAATGCGCAACGTTTTAAAAGAAAGGCAGCCTATGAACCCGATATAATTAGACCCGAAATAATTCATGTC